GGGAGGAGCAGGGCGGCCCGGCTTCGGCCGCAGTGATAAGGAGGGGGAGCCTCAGGGGCACGTTGGCAGGGAGACAGGAGAGGGTCCCTCGTATCGGAGGGCGTGTGCTGAGTAATGACCGCAGATCCCTCTAGCCCGGTGTCCTGCGTGGGGTGGCGACGCTGGCAGATGCTTGTTTCCAGAATGAAGTTAGGCCATGGTGTTCCCTGCCAGCGCTCACCAAGCCTCCACCAGCTTTTGGCTTGGGGATTTCTCGAAACGGGTGGCTTTCGTCTGTTTAGTTTTTTCAGAAATGTAACGGGATGTAAGCTGAAAGCAAGTGGTGATGGAGCTGTTGTTTTCCTCTTCTATGCTGAAAGGCATAATTTTTCATATTTTTTCTAGGTAGTGGTAGGTCATCATGTTTATATATTGATAAGCGTCTTTATTTTCTGCAAAGTGGATGTATCGTTTAAAGGCCAGTTAGATTGGAATATGGCATTTTAAGTTATCCTAAGTCTTTACAAATTTTGTAGTGCTCCTTCTACTTCTGTAATTAAAAAATTATCTCTTTCAGTATATATGTGGCACCACCAATACTAAATCCGTTCATCTTTGCAGGTAATCATGGATCAGGTAATGCAATTCGTGGAACCCAGCCGTCAGTTTGTAAAAGACTCCATACGACTTGTTAAAAGATGCACCAAGCCTGACAGGAAAGGTAAAGCACACAATAAAACAGAACACATCTTCTATTTTACCGTGTATCATTCCATATGTGACTTATTTGTCATGAATGTTTCTTAGCTTCCAATATGAGATTTAAACTTGAGCAGTTGTCCAGTTGTGAATGGCTTTATTGTTCTGGATATAATAAACTTGAATATGTCCTTTTCTGGTATGTACTCAGTCAGGTGTGTGAGAGTGGGACTAAAATTCACCTTATGAAGTAGGCTAAGTAGTGAAATTAACCATTTTGAGACAGGCAAGTAATAATTTTCATGTATTAGGTAAACTGATCTGAGAAGAACTTGTGTGCACTTTGAAAAGACAAGTGCAGCCGTCAGGTCTGCCTGATTGCAGTCAACTTGGGGGAGATTCTTGAGGAAGCTGCTTGTTACATGACCTTGGAGGGAACACTTCATTTTAGGAGACTCGAAAGGAGCGAGGACTGCTTTTTGCAGTGGCCGTTCAGTACTTCACAGTTGTCAGTGACTGCCTGATTGGGACAGGAAGAACTTCGTTGCTGGAAGTATAGAAGAGAAGATTTTTGGACTTTCTCAAAGGCGTTAGAGAGAAGCTATAACTATAACCAGAATATAAGTGGTTGTCCTTAATGGTAGTAGTTACGATGCTTTATTCTCGTGCTCAGGATGAAGTTTACTGACATTTTTTGAGATCAGTGAGGAGCTTCATTCATTGTCAGACTGGCAGGATTGTGAGGGTCTGTTGACCTTAGTTCACTTCATCGTACCTGTCTTTAAAATAATTGAGAATATCACTTAGGTACTCGATTTTTGCAGGGACTTCAGATGCTGTCTTCCTGTGACAAACATAAATGCAGTTTTTCCATTTTTGATACTGTATTGGGAATTATTTTCAGGGCTTGTAAGAGGTATAAAGGAAAGATAATGGAATACATGTTCCACAAATTGTTATGGACTGTGGGTATTTCCAATTCTGCTTACTATTAAAAATTGTTGAGATCGGCCATGCTTTGTGGAAAGCAGCATCTTCTCTCTTAAAATCTCATCTGTCGTCTGAAAAAGTGGATTTGTTTCTCAACGTCAATGCAGTGTGCTTTTGAACTGCTTCCTGTGTTAACATTACCATTTTCTAAAGAGAGATCTCTCCTTTGGTACCTGTAGTGCACATCTCCTCTATGCCATACACGAGGTTTCCTAGACTAAAATTTTTTTGTTTTTGCAGAGTTCCAGAAGATTGCCATGGCAACAGCAATAGGCTTTGCGATAATGGGATTTATTGGTTTCTTTGTCAAATTGATCCATATCCCAATCAACAATATCATTGTGTAAGTAAATATGGACCTTCAATTTCACTAAATTTTACATTAATTTTTACCTGTTCAGTTTTAAATAGAGGATATTAGCGAGCCCTACAGGATCCATGTTGCTTTAGTATCTGTGCATTTCACACATTAGTGTAATATGACAGGTATTACTTGATTCAAAGGACTTGATCAGGAAGTAGATAGTTAATTTAGCATGCTGCAAAATATTAGATCCATTGTTCTTCAGTTTTTTTCGAGTATTCTGCTTCAAAACTGAACGTCAAATATTTTGATTTCCAGTTCCTTAGTGTGTGTTTATCTATAGATAAACCTTATTTGCCTTACTTGGATCTTACATACTCCTACTGTTTCCAGTTTATAATTTGGGTATCCAAAGTAAATGCATGGACGGTAAGGTAGAGAAAACTGAGTGATTGTGCTGGAAGATGACAGGGCACAGAACAAAGTTGGTCTTGTTTCATTTACTGTTAGATGTGTTTGAAACTTTGTTTTATGTGTAACTGCATTCTGTAAAATACCCTTTGGAATGAACGTTGCAGCATGAAAAACTTGACCCTTAAGTTGAGCCGGCAGCCATGGTACTGATGTATTAACACTACCAATTAAAACTCCTCAGGTTCTCCAGAGCTGATGTAATCCCTTTTCTAGCACTGGATCAGGTTAAATCCTATTCCATGACCATTATGTGTGGCTTGCTTATACCTCTAAGAGTGGTCCTCGAGGCAAGGAGAAATGTTTGAAAATAGGAGATAAGCTGTAATGGTAGTAATGTTTGTCCTAACAAGGCAATGGTGGGATGAGAAATTAGACTTCAGATGGGATCACTTGATCACACTTGGTTAGTTGAAACTGATTACTTTGTTCTCTCAACAGAGGCGGCTGAATATTCGTCATGAAGAACAAGACATTGTGACACTTGCTGCAAAGATTTCACAGCTTTGTAACTTGTTTGCTATTAAACAAGCTCCGTTTGGGTTTTCAAACATTGTCATCTTATTCCTCTTTTGAAGTGTATGCGATCATACCTGTCTATATTACAGGCTTTTTTTTTTTTAGTAGTAGTAGAGTGGGTTTTTTGTTTTGTTTTGTTTGGTTTGTTACTTCTTTCAACTGTAATAGAATCATTCAGGTAGGAAGGAACCTTGGGAGGTCTCTAGTCCAACCTCCTGCTCCAGGCTGTGTCAGTGTTGCATATTGACGAGGTTGCTTAGGGCTTTGTCTAGTTGGGTATGAAAACCTCCAAGAGTGACAACTGCACAGCCCCTATTCAGAAGCTGTTCCAATGCTTAACTTACTGCTTAGTAAACAGCATTGTTCCAGCAAAAGTAGGCAGCAAGGAAACAGCATTACTGTATCCTCTCAAGTGGTGATTTAAAGGTCTATCAACTGAAATTCTTCACTAATTCGTCACTAATTTCTGGAATCACCATCACTACCTCTAATTCCTTTCTGCATTGGGAAGTCCTGTTACGTTACATTATGTACTTGACTGGAAAAAAACTCCATCAAATAAAGAACTTGCATTGCCAATCCTTATTCTGATGGCATAATTAAGAAAGCCAAACTTAGTTGGTTACTAAGATGTACAGTTTGAGATTAATGTAGTTGTCAGAGATACTAAGCAGTCCTTCAGCAAATCAACAACTTGCTCACACTGTTGGATAGGATATACACCCATTTTGGATACTGGTTCTGTAAGGCAACTGCACATAGAATTATAAAGGGCTCTGCATTTGTTGACTTGGAAGTTTCCATTATTAAATGATTGAATGTTTTGATTTTTAAAAACTGAGCCTGCAAAAACTCTGGTAGATGCAATGCTCTTCCTCCTCAGATTGAGATAAAGACATTTATATTTCACTCCAAAAAGTGCTTATTGTAACCATTTGGTACTTGCAGAAGTTACAATGCTACTTCTATTACAGACTTTAAAAGCACTTAATACTGGGAAATCTGATATTGGTATTACAGCAAAACTGAAGTTTCTTCAGTACACAAACTTGCTTCATAAGTAGAAAAGTTCAGTTATTACTCTTTTTGGGAAATCTTCACCAGCACCTACATAGGTTACAAACCAGGAGAGAAAAATGAGATTAACTACTTCTAGTGCTATCACCTTTTACTATAGTTATACTATGTACAACTGTGTACTGTATTGCCTTTTGGCAAAAGGGGAAAAAATAGTTCAGTATTGGCATAAAATGCTTTGTAAGAATAGTCTGAACTAACCAGATTAGCAGTTTCTTTACATTCACTTCTGTTTGTGATTGTATTAGGTGGCAGCTCATGTGTCTTTTCTCTAAGTAGTGTGAGGTACCAGAATGAAGTACTCTATTATTGCTACTAATCTTGATTTGCTCTGAAGTGACTTTTATTTCAGACTTGGTTTTCATTCAGTACATAAAATCAGTGCCTGCTTATATCTTCCGGAACAGCTTTACTGTTTTAATTCAGTGAAATTTTGCAGTAATTTGAGTTGAGTCAGATCAGAAAAGGCTGCTGTAGCTCATCTTATCCTTTGATAGCCATTGTCCACAGCAAAGGCTTGTCCGTCTCAATGGTCACAATCCCGGAGTCGTCATAGGTATTGGAAGTACTGACGAGTGTTCCAAACTTCAGCACCTGGTTAGCTACAAAAAATAAGTAAAAGACTTAGTGGTACTCTTGAAAAAAATGCATTGATGTGCATTTATTGTTGTGAAGATTGCTGCTCCAGCAAAGAAAGAATAAAACAGCTGAGTAAATCTAACCTAGATAAACAACATCTAAAATAGCTATGTTAAATATTAATTAGAAGGCTTGATGAGACTATCCAGTGACCTGTAGAGGGAATAAATTAATACTTAATCCCCAAATTAGCATTTTGAGTTTACAGCAGGTTATTACAAAAGCAGATTGTCGAATGTTCCCCAGAGTTTCACATCTGGAAATTTGTATTTCATTAGCATCAGCTCAAGCACCAGTGCTAGACAAGGTATTTAAAGTAAAATGAGGCAGAGGATTTTACTGTAGTTCCAAACATGGGATTTGCTTTAGCTCAGCAACAAGCCTATAATCTCTTAAAATGTGAACAGCTCTAGAGCAAAGGCCAGCAATTAAAAGTGGTATTATTTAACAACTTTTGCTTTGAAGTAAGTCACTTGCATCTTTTCTTCTCTTGCATGCCTAGTGAGGTAGGTGTCCACATGCACTAGAAACCAAGTGGCATTACTCTAACAAATAGCTAATGTCAATTTTAGGAGAGTAACACAGCTAACAGTGCAGTTGTAATGATAATTTTGAAATATCCATGAAGTTTTAAACAACTGTTCTGGATTGTTTTAGCTGACATGTTTTAAGTGTTACATAGACTTCCTACAAGCTGAGACCAAAGATACAAGCTGCCCCCAAACCAAAAAATGCAGTTTAACTTTTATCTTCCATGTCCTCCCTTTTGGATATAGCATTGCTTGCATTTTGCAAACATATGAATAACCCCAAAGGTGCTCTAAAACTGGTGAGTTCTGTATTAGTCCTTGCTCATATAAAGGTTCAGAGCAAGAACTCTAAGACTATCCTTTGTTTTAGTCTGTAAAACAAGCTAAATGAGCTCTTACTGGTGCCACAGAGTTACATTTCCATGGAGGATACAAGGAGAGCTGCAGCTTGGGAGAATTGTTCAGGCAGATCAGCAAGTCTGTGTGGCCTGCCAGAATTGCCAAATTGTGCCTTAATACTGGAGGAGGAATCCTCTGGATTTGCTATCAGTTGGCCTACTGCAAATAGAGATCTCCCTGTGATCAAGAGGTGCGCAAAACAATGTATTAAGCTCTATTTTGTGATTTGCATAGGAGACAAACATTCCAATTGTGGGTGTGAACATGGGCTATAGTAAACTTGGGTGTAGTAATGTATTACAATGCATGTTAGCCTGTCAACCCATTGCTGGAAGCTGCACAGGAGGAACTGATCTTGCCAGGCTGTATGGCTTGAAAATGAGAGACAGTCTGATAAAAGGCAGGACACACAATGTGGTTCTGCGTCTCTTCTGCCAAATCTGTGCTTGCTGCTACTTCTTCCTGCTCCCACTCTCATTATTAGCCTGAAATGAACTGAAGAGGTTTCAGCTGCTAGCCGTATTTGGTTGGAATGAGAGAATAACACCTGAGTTTCACTACTGCTTTAGATTGAAGAGTCCTGCCGTTTGAATCTCTCAGGAGTTTGAAGCATAACTGCAATGCAGTGCTGAAGTTCAGCAAGGAGGAGAAAAAAAAAAAAGTATTATACTAGATCAATTACGTACCTAAAATAAAGGTGCTAGATTCTATCAGGATGATTTTGGGCACACAACAATGCTAGGCAGGCTCCTAGACAAAAGCCAGGATGAATGAGTTTTGGTGTTTGCCTGTGGAAGAGACAGCAGAGGCTGATGGGGTCATGCCTCTGCAGAAGCTGATGCACTGGACTGAGTTGCCAGAGAAGCCAGATTTCACCCTTTGCAGGTGATTTAATGAAGACGAGGCAGAGCTCCCTGTGTAAAAATACTCATAAAATACTGTGTTACGTGTTATGATCGAGTTAAGAATGTTTCCAGTCAGTTTTAAGTAGGAAAGAACCTTAAATAGTTTAAAATATTTGTTGACACACAAATTACCCATTTTTGTTTACTAGATATTGAAGCTTGAAGCGGGGGGAGGGAGAACTTTGTGGATCAACTCTTACTCTTCTGTATAAACCCACTCATTCATTTTCATTGCTTCTTGCTCAAGACTGTCAGAATAATTCTTCATGTTTCAGCTCTGCATATGAAATAAAGGCTCTGTAGAAGGCAAGAATTAAGAACAACACGGCAGCTTAATGAAACAAAATCTAAAGCAGTATTTCTTCATGCATAAAATTAAGTGAAAAGCTTGCTTTTTTCCCCCTTCAATAAAAAGTTCTTGCCCACTAGGTGGAGCCTTTTATCTTTCTGTACCAGATTTTCTTCTCTGCAAGGACCACAGTTTGAAATGCTGAAGTGAAAAAATGCAAGAACTGCAAAACTACTGCTAATTCATGTGGCTCAAATGGACCAATTCCAAGTACTTGGTTTCACAACCAGCCAACATTTCAACTAACATAATTAAAAATGCATGCTTTCCATTCAATAAATGAACAGTCATTAATGTGAAAAACTAGGTTTAAGCCAGTAAAGGAACTAAGAGGAGGTACATACCTACTGCTGCTAGGAAAACTTCCTGCTGTGTCATGCATTATGATGTGAAGTTTACAAGGTCAAAGAAGCGGGAAGTTTTATCAGTTCATACCTGAACCATTCCCTTTTTTTAAATGGCTTTCAGTCTTACTTGTTAAATCCTAGCAAGAGCTTATGCCTTGGGAAAAAACCTATTACAAAAAACCACCCCATTCTCGCTATTGAGATAATTTTTCAGAAGTGCATTCCAAAGAAAACAACTTTTTTATTTTCTACTATTTAGTATTTATAGTTTTGATGGGTACCAAAAATGATTTTAATAAAGGATTTCATGTTGTGATTTTTTTAAAAAAATCTAAATCTCAAAAACCCTGGGATTTTTAGAATTCTCTAATTAAAAGAAATTTTATTTTGGATCACTGAAAATTTTCTTTTAGACAAATAGTATTCTTTTGTTTTTCATGAGAGCCTTCAAGAGCTGATTTGGATAAAACCAGAAGTGATTCATCGAAAACAACATGCCCCCCCCCCCCCTCCAGAAGTGTTAGACATTTTTTCCCGTGAAGTTTTTCCTAGTCCTTTGGTTCCAATCGAACTGTGTTTACTGATAATACACTGTTGATGAGAAAAATACTCTACCCAGCTCCTCCAGTGTAGCAATACTATTTTTCATTACTCTCCATCTGTAAAGTCAGCTTCTCTCAGTGGCACTGAGCCTAGCTGGCCAGGCCTCCAAGGAAAGCAGTGCGGGTCATGAGCAGTTACACAAGAAGGTAACGAAGTAGTAGTTCTGTGGTGTGCTTTTGAAGTCTGACAACTCCGGACTTCAGAACTAAAAGCAAATGCTATTCCTGCCTTTTGGAAAAAACAAAGCAAAACAAAACAAAA